TGAGGATGGTGGAGTTGAGTCAGTCGGTCGGTCGGGTAGAATAGAGATCCAATACTTGGTTCCTGGGGAGTAAAGATGGTGGAGTTGAGTCGGTCGGTCGGTCGGTCGGGTTGAGTGGAGATCTAATACTTGGTTCCTGGGGAGTGAGGATGGTGGAGTTGAGTCGGTCGGTCGGTCGGTCGGGTGGAGTGGAGATCCAATACTTGGTTCCTGGGGAGTGAGGATGGTGGAGTTGAGTCGGTCGGTCGGTCGGTCGGGTAGAGTGGAGATCCAATACTTGGTTCCTAGGGAGTGAGGATGGTGGAGTTGAGTCGTATACTTGTGTTCTGATTTTGGTGCAGCCCAGTGGCTGAGTCATGTGAACTCTCTGTTGGATTGGGTTAATGACTTGTCGATTCTGAGGTGTAAGAACCCTTCATTCAGTCTGGCCGACTAAGTGTGTAGCTTCATGAACTAGGCAGGGCCGATCGAAGGTGTGGATCCACGAATCGGGCAAGGCCGATCCGGATATGAAACTGTGGATCGAGCAGGGTTGATTCAAAGGTATAAATTCGCGGATCGAACAAGGCCGATCCAAAAGTGTAAATTCGTGGATCGAGCAGGGTCGATCCGAATGTGTAAATCTGTGGGTCGAGTAGGGTCAACCTGAAGGTGTAAAAAATCCATAAATCGAGCAAGGTCGATCTGAAGATGCAAATCCATGGATCGAGCATGGTCGATCTGAAGGTGTAAATCTGTGGATCGAGCATGGTCGATCTGAAGGTGTAAATCCGTTGGATCAAGCAGGGTCGATCCGAAGGTGTAATAAACATTTGATCAAGCAGAGTCGATCTGAAGATGTAAATCCATGGATCGAGCAGGGTCGATCCGAAGGTGTAATTACGTGGATCGAGTAGGGTCGATCTGAAGATGCAAATCCGTGGATTGAGCAGGGCCGATCCGAAGTGTAATTACGTGGATCGAACAAGGTCGATCCAAAGTTACAAATCCGTGGATCAAGCAAGGTTGATCCGAAGGTGTAATAAACATTTGATCGAGCAGGGTCAATCTGAAGATGTAAATCCGTTGATCGAGCAGGGTCGATCCGAAGGTGTGATTACGTGGATCGAGTAGGGTCGATCTGAAGATGCAAATCCGTGGATCGAGTAGGGTCGATCTAAAGATGCAAATCCGTGGATCGAGCAGGGCCGATCTAAAGGTGTAAATCTGTTGGATCGAGTAGGGTCAATCCAAAGGTGTAAATCCATGGATCGAGCAGGGTCGATCCGAAGGTGTAACAAACATTTGATCGAGCAGGGTCGATCTGAAGATGCAAATTCGTGGATCGAGCAAGGCCGATCCGAAGGTGTAATTATGTGGATCGAGCAGGGTCAATCCGAAGATGCAAATCCATGGATCGAGCAAGGTCGATCCGAAGGTGTAATAAATATTTGATCGAGCAGGGTTGATCTGAAGATGTAAATTCGTGGATCGAGCAGGATCGATCCGAAGGTGTAATCACGTGGATCAAGTAGGGTCGATCTGAAGATGCAAATTCGTGAATCGAGCATGGTCGATCCGAATGTGTATTAAACATTTGATCGAACAAGGTCGATCTGAAGATGTAAATCCATGGATCAAGCAGGGTCGATCCGAAGGTTTAATTACGTGGATTGAGTAGGGTTGATCTGAAGATGCAAATCCGTGGATCGAGCAAGGTCGATCCGAAGGTGTAATAAACATTTGATCGAGTAGGGTCGATTTGAAGATGTAAATCCGTGGATCGAGCAGGGTCGATCCGAAGGTGTAATTACATGAATCGAGTAGGGCCGATCTGGAGATGTAAATCCGTGGATCGAGCAAGGCCAATCCGAAGGTGTAATTATGTGGATTAAGCAGAGTCGATCCGAAGATACAAATCTGTGGATCGAGCAGGGCCGATCCGATGTGTGAAAGCTCATGAATCGGGTAGGGCTAATTCGAAGGTGTCAGTTACTGAATAATGCTTCATTGAATTCAAGCCGTGAGACCGACTGTCTATGAAGGCAGTGGATGGGCCCACTCATCCTTTTTAAATAAAAAATGAAAAGACAACAAATATTTAGATTGATTTCACCTAAAAGTAGTAGCATGTGGGATGGATTGTGTTCTAACTGTTGCTGATGTCTTTGCCTTTGGGAGTTTGGAGCAAGTAAGCACCCTTCCCTGCTTCTTTGGTGACCTTGTAGGGCCTACAATCGATCTAAGCTCTGGCCTCCTGTCATTCTGCATTTAGTCATACCTGGCGTGAATTGTCTGATTCATCTCATCTTCCTCCCTCATCTTCCTCCCACCTTATTTGAATCGTTGCTCTGGCCAAAGCGTCTTCCATTGTGGTGCAACCTAGCTTCGTCAGTTCTTTATGTAGTTCACCATCCAGGAGGAGACCTTTTTTGAAGGCGTCTATGGCTGTCTCAGGGTTACAGGAAGGGATGGAAATCTTCTCTTTGTTGAATCTGTTGACATACTCTCTCAGTGGCTCTCCCCTCCTCTGGTAACTCTGTATAGATCGGCCGACAGCTTCTCGAGTTTCTTGTTGTTGACGAACTGCTCCACAAAGGTGTCGGTGAGCTGAGCGAATAAGTCGATGGAATCGTTCGGGAGATTTGTGTACCACTTGAGTGCTGGACTGGATAAGCTTAAACCAAAACTCTTGCACATGCAGGTTTCCCTCAACGCTCGAGGTATTGAGACAGTGAATATTCATTGCTTGTATAAGGCTATGTGATCATCTGGGTCAGTTGTGTTGTCGTAGGGTTTCATGTTGGGAATAGTAAACTTTCGGGGCATGTCGGCTAGGGCGATCTCGTCCACAAAGGGTGAATCCGCGTAATAGTGAGGCCTTCTCTTCTTGGTCAGGACCAACATTCCTGGGATGCGCCTCATCATTGCCTCTACATCAGCCAGCCTCTTGGCCAGTACCTGTTCCATAGGAGAGGGGGATACCACTAGGTCATCTCGTTTGACTGGGTCAACCATTGCATTTGTCCTTGGCATATTCTGTTGGGTCATCCCGCGTGGTGTAGTCTGGTGGATCATTCCTTTGTGCACACCCTGGTAGCCCGGATCTCCATTCATTCCCTCTGGTCGGATGACTCTCATGGTAACTGATCTGGTGTTTCACCCTACATGAATGGTTAGGAGGGTTGTTTGATATTCGTTCGGTCCGTCAAGATGGGTGGGCTCGAGTGCTATAGTTTGGTTGGGTTAGCCATTCAACCCGTGAGGGTGAGCCAAGCCGAATGGTGTTTGTGCGGGGATGGTTGACTGGAGGTGAGGCTGGATGGTAAGAATGGGTTGGTCTTGCAGGTGTGGGCTCTCTGTCTCTTGGGCGTCTTGATCTCGATACTAGGGTGGATCAGATGAATGGGGTTATGTTGGCAGATCCTTTCCTCCATGAGTCAAGATCGAGTCTTAGACCACCGATGAACTTAATGGACGTGGCCTTTTACTGGAGGCCGAGGGTCTGTGCTCTGGGGTTTGGAGAGGTTGCATGGATGGAACACTGGGGCGCGAAATCGATTGGGAGGTACCTGGCAAGGCAGAAGCTCTGGATCATAGAACTGACTCACCTTCTCTTTAAGAGACTGGTTTTTGGACCTGATGGATACGTTTTTGCTTCAGAGTGCATCATTCTTGGCTTCCAGTACAGCCATCTTGTCTGAATTTTGTTGCATGAGAGCGGTCAGAGCCTCCAGTCTAGCCTCGAGGCCGGAGTTAGCGTTGTCCGAAGGGTCAACCATGGAAAATTCCTCTACGTAGCAAGGTTCGTCAAGCTGAATGATTGCTAGAGGCCCCACGATGGGCGCCAAACTGTAGATATAGAAATCTACCTATACGGAAAGGGGGTCTGATTCCGTGAGGTTGAGGCCACTAGCGATCCGATGCACTTACACACGTAGAGAAACAAGCGCGAAGCGAATGGAAAACACCGGGGTGGTGTTTGCCGTAGGCACTCCGATGCTCAAGTTAGCAAGACTGAAAGAGGCTATTACCGGAAGTCTAGTCGGGGACTGTGACTACGGCAGTGATGTGAAGCTCTCAATTAGGAGCTTCGGATGTGAAGGTATAATGTAATCTAATCCCCCTTGTGAGAGGGTTGGCCTCTGCTTATATAGTGACAGTCTGGTCTCCCAGTCCTGGTGGGAGTAGGAGTCCTAGTGTGACTCTGATACAAACCCTAGAGGAATTAGGGCGGTGGTGAGCTGTCTTACCAGTGTTCGAATAGGAAAGTGATTCTGAACAGGAAAGTAACCTCGAGTAGGAAAGTGACCTGAACAGGAATGTGACCTCAAATAGGAGACTGATCTGGAATAGGAAAGTGATGTGTGGGTGTCGTGGACTCTGGACTTGCTCATAGGTCTAGGAAGTGAACTGTGATTTGGAGGCCCGGACCCGATGTTTTGAGCCGACTGTATCTCGTATCAAATGGGCCTAATCTGGATGGGGCCGCATCGGGATTTGGCCTGGTCTCTTTCTTATTCAGTCCCGTTCTCCTATTTGAGCCAAGGACTAGTTTTGGCCTAACAAATGCTTTCCCTTGTCCACTTACTAAAGCTCAAATGGCAGATCACTGTTCTTATTCCAACCACACTCTAACCTAAAGATCCTGATTTCATGATGTATAACTTAAACTTCTAATGTCATCTCTCGTGCGTCACAAAATTCTGTAAGTGATCCATAAAGACGACACACTCTTCTTAGAAATCCGCTATACAATTACTTACACGTGCCTTATATTATATATATATATATATATATATATATATCCACAGAGAATATGGTAAGGTCAGTGATTGGTATGATAAAAGTGGCAGTACCACTTTGACCAGTAATGGATTTAAGGATATTGCATTTAGCTTTATTCTTTGAAGTCAACATAATCAATTTCTTCATAACTCATGAATAACTAATACATGCCAAAATCTTACACTATATATAGAGATCCCACATCTCTTAAACTCTCACACTCAAATAGAAGCTCTCTACATCTAATTCTCAGCATAACACAATCAGCCAGCTGCCAGTATGAAGTCATTTAAACACTTCTTTCAATTTCCTTTCCTTTTCTTTCTGCTCTTCTCTTTTTGTGTCTCAAGAACATTACAATTTAAGATCCCAAGGCTTGGAACACACCGAAGAACAGCCCAAGTACATGCACCCAAACCCATGTCTGCAGCGTCCAAATCGAAAGATTTCAAAACTTTTCTGTTCAATCAAACACTTGATCACTTCAATTATAGGCCTGAAAGCTACACCACTTTTCAACAGAGATATGTGATAAATTTTAAGTACTGGGGAGGTGCAAATGCTTCTGCACCAATCTTAGCGTTCTTTGGCGCTGAAGAGAATATAGAAGAAGATATAAACTGTGGTTTTCTCACTGATATGGGCCCTGAATTTAAGGCCCTTCTAGTTTATATAGAGGTAAGAATAAATTCCAGAATCCGTACAATAGTAAAAGTGACAATATGTTGTGTGTTTTATTCTAACTTTTCAAGTGATTTTATACACATTTATTGGGGAATTTTTATATGGAAAAGTCTTTTAATCTTTACAGCATCGATACTATGGGAAATCAATACCGTTGACAACAAGAGAAGAAGCATTGAAAAATGCAAGTGCTCGTGGTTATTTCAACTCCGCTCAAGCTATAGCCGATTATGCTGCTGTTCTTATACACGTACAGAAAAAATATTCCACACAGAATTCTCCAATAATCGTTGTTGGAGGATCGTATGGGGGAAGTAAGGCGATAAATAAAAAAAAAGTTGTATTTAAATAATTACAACGTGATTTGGTTATTAGATATATTAACTTGAATACTTTTTTCTTTTTGTGCAGTGCTTGCTGCATGGTTCCGGCTAAAATATCCCCACATTGCCATTGGAGCTCTAGCTTCATCAGCTCCAATTCTATACTTTGATGAGATTGCTCCGGAAATTGGTTATTATTCCATTGTAACCAAGGACTTCAAAGTAATAAAAAAAACGAATGAAAATTTTATTGCTTTACTCAGTTTCACATTTTTAATTAGAACTTCAAAGCCAAAATTCTTTTCTTTTTCATAAAACAATAATGATGATTGTGCAGGAAACTAGCGAAAGTTGCTACGAAACTATACGCAAATCATGGGGTGAAATCGATAAAGTAGCTTCCGGGCCTAACGGTCTTTCAATCCTCAGCCAAAAATTCAGAACTTGCGAGTAATTAAAATAGTCATGTTTAATCTTTGATTAAGTTGTGCTCCTTTAGTTAATCTTTAAATATTATAGGGCGTTAATTACTTAGACTAACCTGTGCTCCTTTACTTGAACTCGTTAATTTTCAGAAAATTAAAGAGAACCTTTGATCTCAAGGACTACTTAGACTCAATATATTCGGAGGTAGCCCAATTTAATTATCCCCCAACATATCCACTTAGTGTTGTCTGCGGCGGCGTTGATGGAGCACCTCAAGGAACCGATATTCTTGGAAAAATATTTGCAGGTGTTGCTGCTTATGTGGGGGATAAGCCATGCTATGACATTGATGAATACAATTATCCAAGTGAGACACTTACAGGATGGAAATGGCAGGTAATTAACGTAATTACACACCATATCAATTCCATTAACTTCTAAAATTTAAGCATTAAACATCAGCCTCTTCATATGAAAAGAAATAATATCATAATGATCTGGTTCTATATGTAATTTGCTCACCCATTTCTACTATTATTGTTCTTCATAATGTCTTGGCTCAGGGTTTATCTATAAATTTCTGGCTCCAGACTAAATTAAATGCTGATTTAATAAAGTTTTTAAGATAATTTAAACATGTTTCATTAAAAATAAAAATACAAATGACCCCACTAAAAACCTATACCTATAGATTAAGTTATTTTGAAGTGCGAGAGGCATTCATATTCCATAAGTTTAAATATCTATATTGTGAAGAATTGCGAACACTTTTACATATATGGGAATGTAAATGATTAATAATTATTAAAGTAGCAAATTTTTTTTTTCCTTTATAAATAAAGAGATGATATGGAGACGCCACTAACATCTTCTCATGACTGCATAGAATTGTTAATGAATTTATTCTGATAATACTGCTGGTCTTTCTACAGACATGCAGTGAAATAGTGATGCCCATTGGTCACGGTCACAATGATACAATGTTTCCTCCTGCTCCCTTTGATCTAAACCACTTCATTAAGAACTGCAAAAGCTTGTTTGGCGTCGAGCCTCAGCCTCATTGGGTCACAACTTATTATGGAGGCCGTGTATGTTCTATATTATGCTATCCCTTCAAATATAATTTACTAATTTTGATCAAATGTCTTATATATTACTACTTTATGGAAAATGGCAGGATTTAAAATTGATACTTCATAGGTTTGCCAGCAATATCATTTTCTCCAATGGACTCAAAGATCCTTATAGTAGCGGCGGGTAAACACGAATATATTCATTCATAAACGTTTATTTATTTATTCCTGAAAATTATTTAACTTAATTTACTTAAATATAGTCTAAGTATATATATATATATTTTTTTTGTCTTTAGGGTGTTGGAGGACATATCTGAAAGTGTAGTTGCTGTATCTACAGTCAATGGTATACAATCTTGTACCTGTCTTCGTCTCCCCCAAATTATATATTAGACATCTAAGAGAAATATTAGTTAATATTTGTCAAAAATTGTGTAATTAATTTGAAGTGCATATGCTCCATGCTGGTGATTGCAGGATCTCATTGCTTGGATATACAAACCGCACAGAACACTGATCCAGATTGGTTGGTGAGGCAACGAGAAGATGAAGTCAGGATAATAAAGAAATGGCTAGCAGACTATTATAATGATCTTCTTGAGTATAAAACTCAAGTTCCTGCTTGACTCTGATAATCAGAAGTTATGATCAAGCAAATAAATCTTGAACTTTAAAAGAGTTTTATATAAACTAATGTTGAGCATAATCAAAATATATATATATATTAATCTTATATTTCCCGAATCCACATAGATAATGATCAATAATTAATGAACTTGATCATGATATCTGATTACAAGGAATCCACTAATTCTAAATTAATAACATGTCGAAAACGCTGCAAAATGTGAATGCACTCATTACTTGTGACGTTTGTGGGGGAAAGAGGAAGAAAGAATTAATGTCACCAATTTTATAAACAAACCCTAATAGTAATTCTACTATATTAATTGGACATGGTGGATAACAAGACCACTAACAAGTATTAAATATCAGAACCTAGTATATGTAGGATGAAATTAATGCTAACCTTTATTAATTAAAATTATGGATAGTATTGTTAGTGTTTCCATTTGTAGGCCATTAAGGGCACTTATCCAGTGCCCAATATCAGTGGTGGAGGTCCCAGAAAAACCAAAACGTAGCATCCACGCATTGATTTCTTCATCGGAGGTTAAAGGCATCTCTATATATCCACTACTCACCAGAGAAAGAGAAATTATATTAAGTTGGAAAGCATTTCATTTGACGTTGAAATGTGAACACTGATCGAATAGGGTTTGATTAGTTGAAGAAGAAACATGACCTAAAAACGAGAAAATGACGTTTGGGAAACATGATGGAAGCTCTTAAATGGAAATATCGATGAAGGATGATCTGATCACTCTCCATTGGGCATATTGGTTGTTGCTCCTTTGGACTACAAAGGCAATGCAATGGTGCATTTGCAGGCGTGGCCATTACCTTATTATTCTGCATCTTTTCAAACTGACTTTCGATATGCTTCTTTTTAGGGTCTTAATTTGCTTCAGCTCATTATTCTTGATCCATTCGTGGACCATGCATGCCGGTAGTGGTGCACCCTTGCTCTCACCTCGTGCCACACATTTTCTCACTAATTAAGCTTTCAGACTAATTAGAAATCACTATCTTATTTAACTAGTTTATACAAGTTAAGCTCTGGTTAATTTAGTAAGGCTGAAAAATCATATCCAGTTCATGTTGCTTAGTTAACTTAATTGTAACCTGTTTGAGACTTTTGATTGTATGGTCACTAAAGGAAAAATCTTCTCTCTCGACGCAAAGAACGTCGTAATACCTCAAATTGTGAGTTGGGTAACTTGGATGGATTATGTACTTCAATATGTGAGTTGACTCACATCTTCACGGCTTTGTTCTTTAAAATATGGCTTCAAAATGCATTAGAGTGCTGGTTAAAAAGAACACTTAAAATGCAAGAGGTATCAATATAGAGTTTAGAGAAGAACAAATTCCCACAAGGGGACGGGTCATATAAAGGGGGTGTTTGTCTGAGCTTATAAAAATTAGCTTATAAGTGACAAGTGCTTATAAGCTAATTTGCCACTTATAAGCTAATTTTAGTTTATAAGTATTTAAAATTTTAAGCAATTACGTGTTTGGTTAAAGTACTTATAAATGACTGATAAGTAATTAATGTGTTTGGTAAAATGTGACTTATAAGTACATTTTATTTTAAAATGACTAAAAAAGGTATTACATTAAATAAGGGTATACTATGGAATTTTAAAATTAAATAAGGATAATGTGGTAATATACTTGGTCAAACTAGCTTATAATCAGAGTGCTTATAAGCCCAAAAAAAAAAAATACCTCCCCCCCAACTTATTTTTTTTTTTTTTGCTTATAAACTCAACTTATAAGCTCAAAAAAGTTATAAACAAACACGTCAGCTTAATTTTAAAGCTTATAAACTAGTTTGACCAGCTTATAAGCTTAGACAAACACCCCCAAACTCATAAGACTCAAAATTGTTGGGTTAGTGTCTAGAATTGAGAGTGCAAGAGAGGCAATTTAAAGAAAGTCCAAATGTACTCGAGAGATATCTTTGAGAGGGTAAGAGAGACAATTGAAATGCCGAAGTATGTCCGAGAGATATCTTTATATGAATTCAATTGTATTGTATTGAATTATTTTGAATTGTGAATAAATCATATATTTATACAAAAGTTTAGTTATACAATAAGAAAACAAAATAAGGTAATTACACTAAATCAAGGAATTGATTGATTGAGTGATTTTGGGTGATTGTCAATCACAATAATATAATTACACTCAATCAAAAAATTGATTTATTGAATCCTTTTAAGTGATTGGTGTAATTTTAGTGATTAGTCATAATCATAGCATTCATATTTCTTAGTTAGAACTTAGAACAAGTAAAACATGTATACGCATGAATTGATATTGACCAAGTGCGGGATCCAACCCTATTTCCCTATGATAGACATAATCACATGAATATTGTAAGGGCATTGATTCTTAGCCCCCATCAAATTGGTTAGTATTTTTCACTTATATATATATTAACAATTTTAACCTTAATGAAAAGTACTAGAAATATCATAATAATTTTTAAATAAGTTCATACTCTATATATTTTTTTTAATTTTTAACCTTTAATTTTTACATAAATCCATGCTCTAATATTTTTTTGAATAATTGAACCCTTTTTTTTTTTTTTTTTTAGTTTCAAATATTTCTTTGTTTGATGAAAATATATTACTGAAGTTATGGAGAAAATAAATACACAAGGGGAAGAAATTGAATCTAAAGAAAGAAAAATAAGTTTCAAATTTGAACTTGAAAAAAAAGGGTATAAAAATAAAAAAATCTAATTAAGTTTGAAATTGAAAAATTGTGTAAACAAAATTCCTAATTAAGATTGAAATTGAAGAAAAAATGTGTAAACAAAAAACATAATTAAATTTGAAATTGAAAAAAAAATAGTGCAAACAGAAAAATCTAATTAAACTGCTAGAAACCCAGCCTAAATCAATCTACTCATCAACAACAATCTAAACACACAATCAATCACAAAACAAACTACAAAGCAAGAATTTTACCGTGGTTTAACTATCCTTTAAGGGATAGTCTACATCCACGGTTGAGCTCCACAATTGAGGGGCTCTCTGCACTAGATTTAACTTTTGTTCAGTTTATACAAACAACATTCAACTCCTCTCAATAGATCTCACAACACTCTCTTGATACACAACTATACACTAATCACAAAGAAATACTCAACCTGGCACTTCTTCACAGAGAGTAAACTAAAACCCCTAATATGTGATCACTTGATCACAACTCAGAATACAGCAGTCAAGGAGAATGTTAGGCACAAGACAAAGAACCCTTACAGAGAAGAAAAACGCAAAAATGAGAGAGAGTCTACCTTTTTTCGTGAGGGAGAGGTCCTTTTTTATACAGCTGGGCAGGTGGCACATTGAGAGCCATTGGATCATTCTTTAACTAAAGGTGCAAGCAAAACGGCAACGTTCTGACTTCACCTTTAACAATCTCCACCTTGAAGTCAATCTTCAACAGTAACACATCAACCCATTCCAGTGCAGAGAACCTTCCTACAATTACCTCTTAGCTTTTCCAACCCTTTCACCCAATGTGTAGCAAATTCAAGTAATGCTTGAATTTTGCTACAGTAACCACTTTTGTTCCCATGTCTGTAGTTAAAATCTTCCTCAATTCTATCATGCCCCATGCAATTAAGTCTCTAACGAAATGTAACCTAACATCAACATGTTTAGTTCTCTCATGGTAAACTGGATTTTCGCTTAAATGTATGGCACTTTGACTATGTGAATAAATGATTGTCATATTGTCCAGTAGACTTGTCTCCTTCAAAATTCCTTGCAGCCATAAAGCTTCCTTGAACACATCCATCATAGCCACATATTCTGCCTCAGTGGTTGACAAGGCTACCAATGGTTGCAATTGTGACTTCCAACTGACACAATTACCTCCCAAGGTAAAACAGTAGGAAGTTGTAGACTTCCTTGTGTCCCTATCCCCTGCAAAATCAAAATCTACAGAGCCAACCAGATCAAGTGTAGAGTTTCTTTTACAATAATTCAATCCCACATAACATATCTAAGCAACCATTTCATTGCATTCCAATGTTCCATTCCAGGGTTAGCCATAAAACTACTGAGTAATGAAATAGCAAAAGAAGATCTGGTCTTGTGCTTATCATAACATACATTATAGACCCTATTGTGTTAGAGTAAGGCACATTTTCCATTTTAATTAGCTCATAGTCAGATTTGGGACATTGTAACTTGCTTAGGGTGAAGTGGCTTGCTGGTGGCAGGTTCACAGGTTTAGAATTTGACATTCTAAATTTCAGGACTAGTTTTTGTAGGTAAGAACACTGCTAGATCCTTAATTCATGGTTTTTTCTATTCTTTTCAATAACCATCCTTATGATCTTCCTAGCACACCCTAAATCTTTCATAACAAATTCTGAATTTAGTTTTGATTTCAACTCAGTTATCTTTGATGCAGATTTACTTATTAAAAGCATATCATCTACATATAGCAGCAGGTATATAGGCATTTTATGAATAGATGCATGAATGAATTGAAGAATGAGCTAGAATCAAGAAGAACGAAAAAGGAGCTAAAAACCTCTGTTTTTACTTAACTGATTTTAGTTACATATCTGAAGCAGTATATACTGCATTAACGAAGAATAAAACGCAGAGTTTTAACCTGGTTTAAAACTTTACAAAGTACACCCCATAAGATACTCTTAAAGATTACAAAAAACACCCTATTATACTAATATGCTCCCTTAAACTAAACCATGTAACTATGTAATAGCCTGCTATAAACTTCCAGAGATTAAACCTCTGTTTACTAATATGCTCCCTTAATCTGAACGGTATAATACTTTTCGTCAGCACCAGTACTAACTTATGGAAGCTTAATCACCACAACACCACCAACTTCCTAAACTTTTCCAGATTCAGTAAAACAATATCGCACAAGCATCAATAATCTAACTTCTGAAATTTTCTGTAATTCCCAAATTTTCTGCACCCACAATTTCAACTGCAAAACACACAACACACAACACACCAACAGCAAAAACACACAACACATCACCCACAATTTCAACTACACCAGACCCAACACATCAACTGCAAA